CCCCTGCCTCCCTTTCTGGACCCCAACTTAACCATTCTGTTTTATTGGTTTTCTTTTTCGTATTGCTTCTTCTTCTCAAAATGCTATATTGAAACCATCGGTCCATGGAGCAATGGTTAACCTCTTTGTCTTGCACGCAAAGGATGTTGCTTTGAATCCTTTGTGCGTAAATTTATCTTATCGAGTTTTCCGTCTTTCGCTTTTTTTACACGTATGTAGTTGTTTTTAACACCATCGAGGAGACAATTTAGTAAGCGAGCTTCCGACTCTGTCTGTCAGGGCCAGCCTGGGCTGAGAGTTATACAACATCCCGGCAGAAAGACCAAGGTACTCAATAAAATATTTCTCCCCACTCGGGAATCGAACTCGGGTCTCCTGCGTGTGACCCAGAAGCTCCCAACTGCTGCACTACAGACGCCAGTTCCGTCTTTGTGTGGGGACTCTGTGTCCCACCCAGCCCTTCTTAACATGCAGGAAGAGATCAGCCCGACCAGGATAATCTTAGTGCATCTTGTATACAAACAGAACGGGGAAAAACTGTTCTAAAAGATATCATTGAGAAATTAAACAAAACCATTGTCACCAGTGGTGGGGATAACATCAGCGTGTTATATTGAGCGTGGATCGTCTTGCACGCGATTATTTTCCTTTTGTTTATTTTTACTTCTCTAAAGAGAGAGAGAGAGAGAGAGAGAGAGAGAGAGAGAGAGAGAGAGAGAGAGAGAGAGAGAGAGAATCTTCCTGTTGGGTACGATCTTTGAGATTATTCAGTAACAAAGGAAAGAGATACCCTTCATTGTTATTGTGCGTGACACATGAAAACTTTCGTTGAGGAGAAAAGCACGGGTCTGTTCCTGTACAAACGAACAGGTTTCCATGTTGGTATGGTTTTTCCGTTAAGTTATCGTTCATCTACACTTCAGAACGCTCCTACAATCTCTCTAGAGCGAGCTGGAAACGTTACCCAATTCGATCACCTTCAAGAACTTTGTTTTAAAGAACAACGCTCTGTATCATCAAATTAATCATTCGAAATGCCCGTGGCTGATTTTTCTTGGTTGACCCTTTTCATACCCTCTTTGGCCATATCTGGGATTCTTAAAATCTTTATAAACAGTTAAACATTTTTGTGGCTCGTATTCATTCGTGGAGTTGGACAGTGCAAGAAAATGGCTGCCTGTGGAGACGATCTTTGCTATGCAAGCACTAAAAAGAATATCTTCTGAAATAGATTTCAGAATTGCGTTAACGTATGTTATTGCTTTCATCGGTGTTAGAAAACAATGTTGTTTTCTTTTTTAAACTTTGTAAAGTACCGATATTGTATATGTTTCTCATATTCTACTCAAGCACAAATCAAACATATTCTGTGAGACAACACGGTTCTGTGCCTTAAGAGAAAGTTTAGGCTACTTTGAAACGTAGAGGGAAAATATTTCTAGATCTCAGAACTACTTATCTTCTGCAAATAAAAGCTTTTGTGACAGAATAATCGTATCCCCTTTTACTGTTAATTTCTTTCCATGTATTAATTAAAGAAATACATCATGAGTTTTGACATGTATCACTTGAAGACCGACACCTTTGTCCTAAAAAGGGACTTCCGCAAAAAAGACTTCGAGAGTGACTGAAATAAAACTAGATTTCATGGGATTTGAACTGAGAACCTGCCAAAATTGAAATTAACAATGCTTCGGGTATCCGGTTGCATTCCTGACAGAAACAGAGTTATTTGTGTCTGTGCTAGAGGAGTAAATCTTCAATTCATTAGTCTATCAATAGAATCGTGCAGGATTTCTTGGACTATAGTCAGAATAAGACTTGACGATAATAGATCTACGTTGCTTCTCTTATTATGTTCATGGCCGGTTTTACGTCAGGTTTTCTTCTTTTTTTTGGGGGGGAGGGTTGGAAGTTGTTGTTGTTGTTGTTGGGGAGGGGGTTCATTTGTTTGTTTAAGGGATTATTTTTTCTTCGTAGACGGTCTCACGAATGGAAGAACTTCATTTGACCCCAACTTTCAAAGCGAACCAGTTCATTCAAATAAAATTCTAAAGTTTCAAAAACAGACAAGACTCGAGTTTGCCAGCCTGTGAGAACTTCCTGTGTTTGATGAAACGTCACTATGTCATCCAGACGAAAGAGTATTCTAGTTCTAGCCAGTTGTTTGCTGATGACCCTTTGTGGGTGAGTACTTTGTCACTCTTGTTGTTGTTGTTGTTGTTGTTGTTGTAGTTGTTGTTGTGTTGTTGTTGTTGTTGTTGTTGTTGTTGTTGTTGTGTTGTTGTTGTTGTTGTTGTTGTTGTTGTTGTTGTTGTTGTTGTAATTTCTAGCAGGCGTTTTTGACACAGAAATTTAGGCTTCTGTTAAAGCTAAGCGCCTCGCCATAGTACGCAAAAGATGTAAACTCGATTCTTTATTAAGGCGGTCTGTTTTATCGAGTATGTTTGTCTGTCTCATCAGATGTTGTATCTTATTTTATCGATTTGTGGGTTTGTCTCATCGGATGTTGTATACTATCCTATCGAGTATTTGCATATATCTGATCAGATGATGCAGGCCTATTCTATGTATCGAGTATGTGCATCCATCTGGTTTAGGTGTTGTATTCTGTTCAATCCAGATTGGCGCCGGCAGGCAGGGTTGAGCCATTTTAAGCCGTAATTATTATTTGTGATTAAAACCTACCAAGTTCAACACGTTATCTCGCTTATTAAATAATACTACACTGTTGAAAGTTACATTAAACCCTTACCAAACTCAGGGTACCTCTACCATCGTATTTCAGGTAGATTCAGTGTCAGATTCAGGTAATTTTGACATTAAAAAAAACAGGCAGAACAAAGACAAAGAAGGAAAACAAAGACGATTATTACCCAGATGCAAGTGGTTACTATTGAAGGGAGCTTGTTTCTAGTAATCTTATTATCATACAACTAAACCATACCAAGAAGTCTTCGTCATGCCCAAGATGGCACTGCTCAGTGACGACACAGAGTACCAGTTGATCGTGCATGACTGCAATGGGTACATCTAATATTCTGTTATATCCCCCCAAAATTTGAAATCGTAGATTATCTTATCTTATCCTTTCTTATCTCATCTCATCTCATCTCATCTCATCTCATCTCATCTCATCTCATCTCATCTCATCTTATCTTACCTTAAGTTGTCTTGTCTTGTCTCATCAGACTCAAAACCTTCTCGTCCACAGGGGCAACAGTTACCCCTACCATGAAGTGTCACCGAACTCCCTACAATCGCTGTACAATAGTTTCCTGGGACCACCTTTCAATGTGACGTCAAGGATCGACTGCGCAGTACACTGCAGTTCAGACAAAGACTGCACTGTGTTTTTGCTCAACCAATACTCTGGATCAATACGCTGCATCTTGATCGGACTAGGACCAAGACCAATCATATTTTCTAACATGTCCCTGTATGGCAACGTGTTAAGCTGGCAGGCTTACCAGTTAGACACAGGTAGTCGAAACGGATATTTTTAGTTTTACTTTACTAAACTGAAAATAGTTAGAACCCCCCCCCCAAAAAAAAACCCCAGCAACAAACCAACCCCCCCTTCCCTAATTTCTCCAATCACCACTGCTTACTACCCTTTTTAAGGGGTGGTGGGACACCTAAAAATTGTGTTTTTGGGTGAAATTATGGAAACTGGGATTATCACTTATTATATTTCCTGGATATTTCCTGAACAATGTCCAAAAACACGTGTAAGCGTTTCTGTACCCGAAAGTGGTGTTTAAAGGGATTTTAGAGCAGAGGGTAGGGACTTTTTAAAAGAAAATAATTCCCACTTTTTGTCTCACAAAGCATGTTTTGCACCTCTTATATGCTTCTGTTTTAGTAGTAAACCCCTATTCTCTTTCTGCTGTGTTAATATTATCAGGTAGTTGCTATGTTTTAGTTTGAAATATATTTTGAAGGTTTTTACTGGAAAAAGACCTATTTTGACCTTTTCTGACCCTTATTAGTATTAGCCGTTTTCTCAAAACGCTATTTTCATGCACATCATCCCATTTTTCTGCTTTGTTTCAATTTTAATGTAACTTTCACAGAGTGTTAACGACAACTAGCTCTAAACACTATCTTGAGAAATGTTTGATTGCATTTGTAGTTTTTGATAGATGGCCTACGAAAGCTTGATTTTTCGGGGGGGGGGGGGGGTGTTCACAGTTATGCAATGAGCCGATCTCCAGATTTACTTTTTTTAACAATAGATTTTAAATCCCCAATGATACATGATGTCCCACAGCAAATATGAGCTCTCTGGGGTTTGTAATAGCCGAGGTAGTCTTCAGGTGCCCCACCACCCCTTAAAGAGAAAACGGGAAAAGAAAGAAATTTTAAGTCGGTGTTTTCTTACTATATTATATCTTTTTCTACTGACGTTGAATATCCCGGCAACAGCAGAAGCGCGGAGCATGACGATTGCTCGTCTCCTCTTATGTTGAGTTAACCCTACCATCTTTCCTGAGTGACAATGATGAAAATGCTATAGCGGTTTTTGATCAACAAAGACTTTAACTTCTTTTTTTTTTAAAGATAAGAAAAAAATCTGCCTCATGGTCGAGAAAAAAAACACACAAATTTTCAACGTTTTAATGTTGGCACTATGAACACAAACTGAAGCACCAAAATTGCCTAATTTTTAGACTACTTAGTATTACTCACATGAAAGCAAAAGCGTAAAGACTCAAGAAAATAGATTTTATACAGAATCAAAAGTGGTACCTTTTTTAAATGATCGCCAGTGTGGAACGTCCAAGATGTTCGCCATTATTATGACCACTGATACGCCATGAGAACAAAAAAACTACTCTGTGTATGCTTTGAAACTTTCACTACTGCCCAACAATGTCATAAACGGAATGTCATCTTTCCAGAGCCACAAAGAGCAATTTCCGCAAAGGCCGCCCATACTCCCACCCCCACCCCAAACTCTATCTATGCCCCAACCCCAATCCCAACCTCACCCATACCTCAACCCATAGACCGTATTTATAATCATTGCCTCAACCCCTCCCTTTTGACCTTGACCTTGACCATCAATTATTTATTTATAGAGGCACCAGCCATACATGTCCAGGTGCTGTTTTAGCCTTTTTGGTCTGCAGATTAAATATTCTTTTTTAAAATCTATACGCACAATACCCAAGCAATGATAACTTTGCGCCACATCAGTAATGTCATTTCGTATTTCATATTATGTGTTTATTAAGAATGGGGCTCTATCACTTACAGGCTGCACTTTATATAGTTTTATCAAGAGCACATTTTCCCCATACACAAAATACCCAAACTATGATAACTATGCATCATATTAATGATATGTAATTTTGTATTAATAATGAGTTTTACGTGCTTCATCAACCATGATGCTCTATAAAGTACAGGCTGTCCTTGCAGTTTCATCAAGAGAAACTTTTCCCTATACACTACAATACCAAAGCTATAACAATTGCGCATAATATTAATGTCATTTTGTATAATTTACATATAATATATGTATTTCATTAACAATGGGCCTCTATCACTTACAGGCTGCGCCTATAATTTCATCAAGAGAACCGGGAGATGTGTGAAGTTTTACCCAACGGAAAACTACACCCACGCACAGGCTAAAGCTGAATGCAGTCGGGTCCAAGGAATAATGATAGAGTTTAACTCGCTGCAGGATTTACTTTCAATGAGCGATTTACTTGAAAACACTCAAAGTACGTTGTGGAAATAATATACACGGAGATAATCGGGG